TTTTCGTTTCGTGTGGTTTTCATTTAGTTCTGGGCGTGGAACACGGCACAACTGTTCGAGATACAAATAATTGTGTTAGTAAAGCCTTATGCGATGACAGTGTTTTAAGTGTGACTGACACATAGCAGATAGAGTTCTGACTTTATTTTTTTGACTCTTTGCCGTATTTTTTTTTTCGTACGTTTGTCTCTTTTCATTCAACTAATTCGGTATCAAATGTCGCACACTGCAGCTGACTTGGGGTTGCCGAGAATGTGCAATCGATAGATTGTCGACAAACCGATGGGAATAGAGACGAAAAAAAAAAAATATAATAAAAACGAAAATGTGCATGTTTGTTTCATTGATGATTGCATCATCATCTTCATCAATGCCCATAATTCAATGCGCTCGCATTCGCAAATTAGCAAATGTAATTATGAATTTAAATTTAGATTCAGTCAATGTCGGTTATTGTGATTTCAACACGTATATCGCGTGTCCAGATCCATTCGTACATACACACACGAGATAGCGAGAAAAAAATCATTCACAAACTAACCAACCAACCGACCGACCGACAGACCGCCGAGAGTCTTTTTAGTGTCAAGAAAATCAGCATTAAAGCACACACAGAAAATCAATAAAAGATCTGTTTTTTTCCTTCCTTTTTGGTCGATAAATGGGCCACTGCGATGGCGTACGAGCAGAGACATATACCGTTGAGGATTCACCTAAGGAAATTTCATTTTGTCGCATTCGAATTGTGGCCGTATAAATTCAACATTAACAAATGGTCAACTAAATTCATAAATAAACCCTTTTTTTGTAAAAGAAAATATCAAGTGTTTTTTTTTCTCTCCAATTTTAATGTGGCAGTGGCACCGGACGAAAGCCAATGAAATTGTGTAACCGTGTAATGCAAACTGTTTTTTTTTCTTCTGAAACAGCAGAGAAACAGCAACAAATCAACGAATGAAACGGAAAATGAAGAAAATCCCCAAGAAGCGAACATTTTTGCACGAAATTACAAGAAAATGGAATAATCATCGTTCCATGGCTAAAATCGATACAACTTAACATTGCACGAGATCGAAAATAGCAAACAAAATATTTTTCGTCTTCTTCTCTTCTATTCGATAGGCTGCTTGTGTTTGCTTGATTCGTCTTTACGGTATTGGGCACAAGTTGCAAACCATATTTACTTCATAAACTTGCGAATTCTAGCATTGACTCTGCGAACAACAACAAAAACATCAAATGTGGTCTGAATTCGTGTATGTGAAGTTCTTTTCACAGTTCGAGAAAAGGTTTTTGGTTTTTTTTGTCATTCCGAATTCTCTCGCTCATTGATTGTTTTGTTACTGTTTCAATGTCATACAAGAACTGTCATATTGTCATTAGCAACATAATATTCAAACAAGTTAAATTGCTTTTCAGAGTTGATTGTAATGAAGATTGTCAGAGTAGGTAGAATAACAAAATTGGTGTCTAAATGTGGGGAGAATAACATTTACATAAATATTTTTGGTTCATTTGAATAGATCGGTCATGTGGATATTGCAACCTCAATCGTCATCCGAGTGTAAAATTGGACAACGGTGGGCATTTTATTGGCTTTCTTTTCTATCGCACCATTTATATCTGCGGTAAAAGTACTTTTCAAATCAGATTTCTTCGCCCAGCAAAAAATAGTAAAGTGGAAAACAGCCAAATGCCCCGGAATTGACGTAATACATTTAAAAATGTTTCATTAAAACTTGATAACGATTCCTTGATTCCTTTCTTTCGGCGAAAAAAAAGCATGCCTAAGCTTATTGGTGAATATCTGTGGCATTTCGTATTCCAAAAGCGTTCTCGTTATGTCACCAGAAAAAGTAATGAGTAGAAAAAAGCACAGCAACTACACACATTTTCTATGCCATCCCGTTGCTGAAGTACGGGAAATAAAACGCATGCCAAGAATAGTAAAGCAATAAATACTAATTGCCCGACCAAACTAACGCGCGGAAAGAAAAAAGAGAATGACTGAGCGAGTGTGTATTCGCGCGACACAATCGTCGTCGACGATAGTATGAAAACACAAAAAGAAAAAAAGATGAGAGAGAGAGAGAGAGCGCGTAAAAAGAAAACATGAACAAAAACATAGAATGTAAGTGAAGTCTTTTTATTCTTGGTAAGCGAACATGAACTCAAAATTATGTTCGCCGCATTGTTTTAGCGTCTGTACACGCCGCACTTTCTACCAAAAAGAAAGAAGCGAATGAACGACAGAGCTGTTGAGTTGAGAACGTGCATAAGTCTTTACAACATTGTGGATATATGTATGTATATATAGAGACCCTTTTGAGTACTTTTACCATTGCGTCGAGAGAGTGAACGATGAAGATAGTTCGTGGTTTGGCTGCTTTGAACTGTTGAACGAATGAGAACATAGCAAGCTTGAACAACGTACGTATGCGATACAATATAACAAATGCCATGCCTAGAATGAAGTAATACTGCATCGAATCTGGTGAAATGGTAATGTATGTATACTATGTACAGTATACGTTTATTCAAAAACTCCTCTCTCGCGCGCGCTGTTCGTGTGAACGGTATTTTTCGATTCGTTTGGTACGCATATATTGCGCAAGCGTCGCGACTACCATATTCCGACTGTATGGCAACATCATATCAAACATATATATATATATATTGTACACATGATATAAATTTAGACATGGATTTTATTTTAATAAATCGAATTTGTTTTTTTTTTCTCATTGCTCTTCCTCAATCTCTTGATTTGTGCTCTGAACAGATTTGTAGACGAACGAAAATAGAAATCTTTAGAAAAAGAGATTTGCTCTATTGACATGGAAGCGAAATGAATACAATTTTTTTTTGGTGAAGTAGAACGGATGTTTTAGCATGTCCGAAATGTGTATCATTTTCGCATAAAATCAATTGCAGATGCTAATTGGCTCAGGTTTGCACTATTTCACCGCAATATTTGACATTGAATCGAAATTTTCGGTGGGCCAAACAGTTGTTTGTCTTCTTCTTCTTCCTTTCCATTTTCACTTTCGATCTACTTAATTTGAAGCAGCAAGTACACTTTTTCTCTCCTCTCGCGTTGCAAACACATTTCATGAATGGCTTTTATTCAAACAAATAACTTTTTTTTCTGATTACATATGATGACTGCTTATTAGAACCACATACTCGCGAATAGCGATGACCTAATCGCTAAATTTTATTTTTTTCATTGCTTGAGGGTGAAAAAACGAGATGGATGTATTCACAATAGATTCAAATGTTAGCGATAAAAACGCGATTTCCAATTGAAACTTCCTCCTGAATATTTAGATCAATTATATGCCTCAATACCGTTCTTTTTGCTTGTTAATAAGTCTACACACATGGTACTACATACTTTTTTTCGATTTCACTCCATATTCGTGTGCGGTTCTTATGTGTTCGCGAGAGAAGAAAAAACAAAACCACATACACACAAATGAGATATTCAACGTTCAATTGATCTGATTCCGTTTATTGATCGCCGCAAAAGTAATCAAACACTTATGCCGCTGGATTGGGCCATGAGAGCAGTGAGAAATCAATCATTTTTCAATTTGCGTAAATTAATTGAGCCATAAATTTTACGCAATGAGAATAAACCATTTTCAAGTGATTCGATTATGAACAATCAACTGGCTGTAGCTTAGCATATATTGACGATTTATTTTTGGACATTGTTTCGCGCGATGTTGATTCGATGTATGCTATGTGTTCTTTGGCACCGAATGGCTTAGCATGGATTTTAGTCTTTCATTTAGATTTTTGCACGTGATACGAACAATGAAAGCCGCCAATTTTGGATGGAAATACTCGTAAATCGTTGATTAGATCGAGCTATTTGTGGAAAGAGAGTGCGGCACACCTAAACACAATGGCACGTCAGCAATTTTAATTGTACGGAAAGTGAATTAGATAATCAGTATAGAGAAGTTTGAACAGGAGACGTCAACGACGGCCGTTTTGAGTAAATCATATCGCCAGTTGACGATAAAGTACATATTTTTCGTTCTCATTTTCAAGTGAACTAATTGATTACCAAGGCTGTCCAATTATTTATTTATCTTATCGGAATTAAGATTACCGCCGTAGCATGAAACGTAAAGGTTTTAATGAAGCTTCAGACCGTTTCTGTACAATTGATTTTCTTGAATTCGTTGTCTCTCAAAGTACTCATTTTATTGATTTTTCTTTCGCTTCTGTTTTTTTTTACTCGATTATCTCCAAATCAAAAGCATATTTACTAGCTTCAACATGACATTCAGTACGATTGGTGGTTTGTCCATGAAAATTGTATGAAGCTTCCAATTGGAATCGAATTAAAAACATCGCATAATGCTCATGTGAATTAAATCACCGAATCATATTGGATTATGATGTGAGCAGATTTCTGTGTTGCGAGAGAGCGAACGAGTGAAGTCACAGCGTATTAGCCGCCATTGTTGGTTTTTGGTTAGAATACACCACAGGAATAGAGGAAAAAACACACGCACACCAGTTCAACGGGAAGAACCTTCAACGATGAACTATACAGAAAAATCCAGCATACACAAAATAAAACACGCACCATTCGTACAGTTTCCGTACACATTCACTCGCTCCTATGTATACACACACACACATACACTCACACAATCACGCACATCGGTCGACGAAACATTAAATTTTTCTTTGGTACGTAACACAACCAATTTTTCTCGATGGCATTTGGTGTTTTCCAGCCAACTTTGATGTTAATTTTAAACTATTTGATTTTATGTTTAATATTTGATTTGTTTTTTCCTCTTGTATCCATGTATAGAGTCTTGTCTAGCACCATATTCGTGATGAAAACGGCACGATTTCCATTAACTGGTTTATTTTTATTCAATTGATACAGCCTTTTTGTATCAACTTTTTTTTTCTTCTTCTCCTTTTTTAGTCCAAATTTAGAAAGAAAAATATATTTTCCGTATGCTCACCGTGTGGTTGCGTTTGGTCGCCACACACTGTACACAAAAATCACAATATCTCAATTTCTTGAATCTTCTCTTCGTACCGAAACTCTCTCACTAATTCGGTTGACAAATCCAAATTTTCTCTTCCTTTTTTTCGTATTCCAATTTGATCTGTGCACTAACAAAAAGTAACCAATTTTTTTTCGGCGGAATTATTTTATAGTTTTTTTTTTAAACGGTTTGTATATTGGTCTTAAAACTTCACATACTAATTTAGTTTTTTTTTCTGTTAAAATAAAATACAACACCGAAAAATTCTACGCCCGTTCGTGATCGAGTACTCAGTATTATTGGAAGAGTAGAAAAAAATGTCGTCACTACATGGCAGCGATTTGAGAATTTCACTCAATAATGTGTACGCTTGCGTCTGTGACGACCAACACAACCAATGGCAAAACATAATTGATCTAACTGTTTGCTTGAATCCTCCGTGTGAAATGTTTGTTTGTATTGGGTGCGTATGTGTGTGTGTTGAGAAAAACACTCAAAATATACCCACATATATCTCAAGCAACATCAATGAAGATGAAGACGAAGAAGAAGGGCAACAATCACTCAACATTTGCTGAGTACAAAATGTTACATTCAAAAATAATTTCCCATAGGAAAGTAATAAATTGTCGGCAAATTTTGAATTTCCCGATTACCTAAACAATTCATGGATTTTTATGCCACAAATGCCACCATTTCCCATATTTTCGAGCATTGACAGTGGATTTTCTGCAACAGTGAACCAGTCAAAGGCAATATTATGTTACCCAAAATGATGTCATTCTTTTTTTGTCTTTCTCCAATTCCAAATGAAATATGGTCAACATTGCCGATAGATTCACATACACGAAATGGCAATGCGATTGTGTGTGTGGAAAAAAAAAGTTATGTTGACATAGTTCTATCTCCTTTCGACATTTGCCGCTCTAAAGCGGTATGGGTGCGGTTTCGTTTTTGCATTCACACTTCCACCATCATAAACACACACACATTTCACACAGTCGAAGAAGAAATTTTTTTTTCGCATCTTACCGAAAATTATTCTTCGACCCAAAATGAAATGAAATAATAAACACCAGTTACCATTAAAAAATATTAGCTGACTTCTTTTTAGCGGCTTCTACCCAATTCTTTCTCTCACTAGATTTTTTCCTATTGATTTTTAACTTCACTTTTTGATTTATTCAGTTTCTTTTCGATTCGTTCTTTTTTTTCTTCTTCAAATTTTCTCTTCTATGTACAGTTCTTCTTCGATGACACACAGGGAGCTCATACGGCTCACTTGACAAAACACACACACAATACTGAACCGAATTCGATATTCTCCGTCTTTTCAGCCACAGAAACGGTGTATTATTACATTCATTTGTATAAATGTCATGCAATGTCTATCTATTTGTTGTCTCATTCGCACACATCAATAAATACCGAATTGCGTTTGGATTCGCACTGTTGGCCAAACTGCAAGTGGTTTCAGTGTGTTTGGCAGAGCGAACTTTGAATTGGAAAAACATCTTATTGGGAATGGTTGATTAAATTTTTTTTTTGAGAGAATTCAATTTAATCTCAGTATTTCTATTGAAAGAAACATTTTTGAACGAAACATGGATTTTAATTCGAATTGTTGAAAAAATCAATGAAAATTCATCTTAAAACGGAGACTTTGACTCACTCAAGAATTTATTAAAATAATTTCCAGTCTAAAATCAAATCGAATTACATTCTCATTTCATTCATTCATTAAATGGTCATTAAAATACGATTTCCAACAACCAAAAACTGTTTGCTTTGATACGAGAACTTTGTTGTTTTTATTGTAATGTGTCAGATTTGAATGTCAGTTGGTCGTTCGCATCGGGCAGTCCAGCACGTGAAATGTGTCTGCCAAACAGAAAAAGACATTTCACTTAATTGAAGTAAAATTGTTGACGTGTTAACACATAGACATAGCGATTTGTGTTTTTGTTTCAGCCAAAAGAGTGTCATTTGTTTTTGTGTTTCCACAAAATCTGTTCCCTTTTTTTCGTTGTGCAAATTATTTAGGCAAAAAAATGTTAGATTTATTCACGATTTTTACCAAAGGAGGCATCGTTTTATGGTGTTTCCGTGGAACACAGGAAATTTTCACAGCGCCAGTCAATGCATTGATTCGCAGTGTAATTTTGCAGGTAATTTGAATATTTGTGATTTCATGCATGGCATGAAGATCAGGTTTTGTACGCAAGAGAGAGAGAGAGAGAGAAAGAAAGTAAGAGTATCACACTGACCTAGACACCATTTAATCGTATTTTTCGATGATTTCCACTTGAAAAACAGGAACGTACGGGATCAAATTCGTATGATCACAATAATTTAACGCTGCAATACAAATTGGACAATGAATTTGAGCTGATTTTCGTGGTTGCGTTTCAAAAAATACTACAACTGTCCTACGTTGACAAGTTCCTGAGCGACATTCACTTGGAATTTAGAGACAAATACAAAAATGAATTGGTTTCACGCGAGAATCGAAGCTATCAACAATACGATTTTTTGAGCGAATTCAACCATATTTTAGAAGAAGCTGAAAAATGGGGTAAGAGTGGCATTGAAAAAACATGGATATTTTCTCAGAATGCATTTTTAACACCGACAATTTATTCATGATGGTACATTTTTTATTGTGAAATCTAGGTCGTTTGCAAGCAAAATTACCCAAACAAATGCGTTCTTTTAATGATTCACAAAAATCAAAGAAAACTGTTGCGTCAATGATTGAACGCAAGGATGGTAAACCAATGGCACCACCGAAAAAAATCGTCAAAATAGTCGAAGCTAAAGTGGAAGCAGTTGAAGAGTCCGATTCCAATGGTGGTTTAACTGAGGATGTTTTGGTGGCAAATCGTCGTAAATTAGCTGAAAAATTGTCGGGAAAGAAGAAGGTGGACTCGAAGTGAGTGCAGAATGGCATATTCTTCTGAAGAATTTGATTCTTATTTCAAATAATTCGTTTTTCATAACATTTTCTCACTTTCATACAATTTTCTGCTTTGATTAAACTAGGAAATCGCCAAAAACTCCGACGGAAAAAGTGAAAGCGGGTAAACAAGCGCGTGTTTGGGATTTGGGTGGTTCATCGAAGGATGCACCAGTTTTAGATCGTTCGAAAGATAATCCCGATGATATTCGAAGCGTCTATACATCGGACAACCAAATGATTGGATCGATGAAGGGTGGCATTCAAGATCTGGCGGTTGAAAGCGAGTCAAGCTCCGATGAAGAATCTGAAGAAGATGTGGGCAACAACAATCAAAACACCACCAAATCGAATTCTACGGGTAAAAAGAGCGTATTTTCAATGTTTTCGAAGTTTGTCGGTGCCAAGAATTTGACACGTGAAGACATGCAAACAGCATTGGATAAATTACGTGACCATTTGATTACTAAAAACGTTGCAAACTATATTGCCAACGAGCTGTGCGATTCAGTTGCCGTAAAATTGGAGGGAAAAGTGTTGGGAACATTTGATACCATAGCATCAACGGTCAAAAATGCATTGACCGAGGCTCTGGTGCAAATTCTATCGCCAAAACGTCGAATTGACATTCTGCGTGATTGCCTAGAGGCAAAGAAGAATCAACGTCCATACGTCATGGCTTTTTGCGGTGTGAACGGCGTTGGAAAATCGACAAATTTGGCCAAAATCTGCTTTTGGCTCATTGAGAACAATTTTAACGTGTTGATTGCAGCTTGTGATACGTTCAGAGCTGGAGCCGTTGAACAATTGCGCACACATATGCGTCACTTGAACGCATTGCACCCACCGGAGAAACATGGTGGCCGTCAAATGGTTCAACTGTATGAAAAAGGTTATGGAAAAGATGCTGCTGGCATTGCAATGGAAGCCATACGATTCGCTTCGGATTCTCGCATCGATGTCGTTCTAGTCGATACTGCTGGCAGAATGCAAGATAACGAGCCTCTCATGCGTGCTTTGACCAAATTGATTGCGGTAAATTCAAAACTTTTTCTCATCGAATTCCGAAAATGAATAAACTTAATTCTGATTTTATCATTTTGAAAAAAAAAAAAAAACAGGTTAACGAACCGGATTTGGTCTTGTTTGTCGGAGAAGCTCTGGTTGGAAACGAAGCGGTCGATCAATTGACGAAATTCAATCAAGCACTCGCCGATCACTCATCGGCCACTAATCCACATCTAATCGACGGAATCGTTTTAACAAAGTTCGATACCATCGATGATAAGGTAATTTTACACTAATTGACCTTTCTCATTGAAAATGCTAATTGTATTCGTTCTATCAATAGGTTGGTGCGGCAATTTCTATGACGTATATCACTGGGCAGCCAATCGTTTTCGTTGGAACGGGTCAAACTTATACTGATTTGAAAGCATTGAATGCAAAGGCTGTCGTTCACGCTTTGATGAAGTAAAACCAATTCAGTCACAATCATCCACATTCTCTCCACCTTCTCTTCTACACAACAACAATCCAGATTTAATATACAGCCATGCACATTACCGTTATACCGATTTATTCTGACTTCTTTATTCGTTACATTTTTTATTTAACCGATTTTTTTGTTATTCAAATAAAAGAACGCCAATTTTTTGAGGTTATGGAATAAGTGTGCAATTTTCTTTGACTGACTTTATGTGTGCGTCGTGTGCAGTAAATGTAGTAATTCTGAATTTGATAGAAATTAATTATTTTCATTTCGAATACAGAGTGGTGCGTCAGCAAAATTGAGAAAATAAATTGTGACAAAAATAAAAACAAAAAAAAAATTCCCCTACCGGGAATCGAACCCGGGCCTTCTCGGTGAAAGCGAGATATCCTAGCCACTAGACCATAGAGGAGACATGGTTAAAGACGGCAGAGTGCATTCTCGATGAGAATTTCTCATATTCACCGAATTTTTCTTTGGAACGTATATATTTTAGTACTAACCTCGTCTTGCGTTTGGTATTTAGTTCCTGTCTATTTATTCTGAACTATTTCATCATAATTTCATCATTTTTCTTCGCATTCATCTGAAATTTTTCTATCAAGTACTATGATTTAAATTTGTATTTATGTTCAATGTTCATTCAAGCAACGGAGAAGTGACAGCTCTATGTTTCTTTCGAAATTAGTTCACACATACGTCACTCGGTGAACAAATGTTGGTAGCGTTGTGTCGTAGCCAACGTAATGTGTGTTCGTTGTATTGTCGACTGCGAGTATTAAACGATGATGAAACGAATAATTATCAACATTTTGAAAAAAAAATAATCACAATTTTATCAATTTGAGTATCGGCAAATTTATTTTGACAAGATTTTATATCATAATTGTTGCACACTCGACAAGAGTGCATTTGGCCATGCCGACATTCGGCCCCGGTGGGCGAGTGGGATAAAGCGCCGCTCTCGGAAGGTTGCAAGTTCGATTCCGGCAGTTCATTAACAGTTTTTCTCAAAAAAAATGTAAATGAACTCGAAATCGAATTTGAAACCTTGACTATGGCTGCCAACCGTGAATGTGAATTAGATAGCAAACAATAGAAAAAATATCAAATTTGTACAAAAAACTAGTAAGAATACACACATATCATTAAAGTAGCATGCAAATTCAAGCCCAAATTGAACTTGCATGCGAAGTAGGAACAAAAACAAAAACAATAGCCATTACTAAAAGACTGAAAAAGAACCATTGCTTAAAGACTGAATCGTAGATAGATAAATAAATAAATTCACATTGGTTGGTGACATAGTTGGCCAGTATAGTCAACGATCATATCATGTAGAAAGCACCAGTTCCCGTCCGATCACTGAAGTTAAGCTGCATCGAGCATGGTTAGTACTTGAATGGGTGACCGTCTGGGAAGACCAAGTGTTGTTGACACAATTTGTTTGATGAGATTTTCTTAGTAAAACGGTGGTTTGTTGCTGAAGTTAACCTAGAATTGAATTATAATTGAAATCAATTTTTTGTTCTACAATATCTGAATAGATGCTGTTAACACCGCCAGAAAAAGACAAAATATAGCAATTTGGCTGTTCTGTAATGGACAAATATGTGAGAATTCTTTTGAAATCGCCTTTTTCAACCTTTATATACGAAAATATTTCTACTGATTTGATTTTTTTTTTGGAAAATCACACTGAAAACATCCAATATTCTAACGCAATATGTTGTGAAATCAACTGACTTAATGGTCATAACTGGCCTATTTTGGCGATATTTGATCCATGTTGAAGGGTTTTTTTCTTACAAGAAGTGCTTATTTCGAGTTGCGATGTTCAGCAAAGTTGTTTCTTTGGCCAAAATCTATGATTTTATCAACTCGGAAAACTTAAATTTTCCGGTTTTCTTCGGAAAATTGTGGAAAATAATCGAAATTATTCCTGTAATTTGGACTTGATTCACAAAACATGATTTTTCACTATGAATGAGAGCTATATTGATGAAAGTTGTTCTATATGGATGGAGTTAAAAATTGCTGAAGAAATTAAAGTTCCTCTCACACAGTTCACAAGTGTAAGTTTTTCATATAGCCAAAACGGCTTGTTTTTCAAAATGACCCGAAGTAAAAATAAAATCTACATGGGAAATAAGGAGAATACCCGATGTTTGAAAAAATATAATAACATCTTCATAGAAAAATTTATGTTAAAAATGAAAATTGGTCTCGAAAGACCTTAAGAACACAGCAGTGTTAAAAAGACTACCAATTAAAGTAATCGATACCTACCTCTACATGGAGTATGTCGGCACACCCTTCGAAGATGAAATACCATATACGTTGTATACATAGTTTGGATCTGTTGAGAATTAAAAGCATATACATTGTTTTAGGATTTTGATTTGAGTTCTAAAACGTACATTAAAATCTCTCGAAGATTTCGATTATTTTACATGTAAATGCATTTCAAAATAAAACGAATTACGTACGTAATCCATTCCGCGCCGCATTTCATACAATGAGTGCGAACATTTGTTGAAACATCACAATTTTTAACATACATTGTAATATTCGGTGAGTGCCACTGAAAAAATATTCAAACTTATTTAGTGCATGAGACGCATGGTCACTCATTTAATGAGTGAGACGCACGCGGATGAGATGAAGCAAAGCGAAAGAGAAGCGGGCAACTCCATACGAACGAATGATATAGCGCGCATACATTTGAGGAAAATTTGAAGAAATGTTGATTTCAACACCTGGTTGTTCACGGAGCTCCTTTATTTTTGCAAAAAATATCAGTTAGCCTTGACCGAAACCCTGAAAAATGGCTTTTTGAGTGATTTTTCATACAAAAGTGACATTTGGTTTCAGGTCATCAGTCCGAGGCTGATAGTTCGAAATTGGTATGTCAGAATGAGCTCAAAATCAATCCGAAGCTTTGTGTCGACATGCCAAAACTTTTTGCTTTTACAGATCTCAATTTGAGATGTCCGGCGAATAAAAATCTCGGACGCGAACGCAGACGATGCCAATAACAATATGTAATAAAATATTATACAATCCTCTGATATTTAATTGGAAAGATTTAATTGATTTTATTGATACACAGTATTTAAAAAACGGGGAGAGAAAGAGGGAAAAACGGATAGTACTGACGTCCATGTGCATAATCAGATAGAAAGAGAGCTACCCCGTGTGCAAATAAAATGACTAACAGTCACTCAGTTGTATGAAGCTGTAGGTAGTGAAACACAACTAAAACTGTCCCAAATTAACCGACTGACTTAGACAGTCAACAATTTTCCACACGGGCAAGCATATCGTGTAATCAAATTTTGAGCAAAATCGGTCAATGCCTTCAGTTACCATATGAAATTCCGGTGTTTTTGTTACGCTTTGTGCGAATCTTCGCTACTTCGTTAGTATTAGTAGTGCACACCTAAATTTCACATGGTAGCTTGCTTTCTATCTGGTTATGTGCATGAACGCCTGTACTATCCTATTTTCCCTATTTCTCTTGCCGTTTCTTTAATATTGTTTGCTTCTAAAAATAGACAACGTAACTTTAACCCAAGAAAAAACAGTTCTTCCTTTCCAGAGGTAAAGTGATAATTTCAGCCATTTTTATTTTACACATGTACCAAATATATGATAATATATGAGTATATATGTATATATGTGACATGAAAATACATCTACACAATGTTGTATACAGTGTCGCTTTTAGCACTACATGAAATGTAGAGCTATTAGATATGTTTTTATGTTCAGACACGATATCTCGGGAACGCTTGAACCGATTTCGTTCGAATTTTGAAAAGAGATCTCTTTTGTCGTCTATTTATGCGTGAATAACTCGTGGCAAGTTTTTGAAAAGTGCGTATTTAGGCTAAATGCATTGACCGATTTTGCTCAAAATTTGATTACACGATATGCTTGCCTTTTAGACAAACTATATCCAATACAATGTGCTAACCCAAGTGGTTTAACTGTGGAGATGCGTTCATTTATACGCGGAGCGCGCCCATCTTGATGTATATTCACTTCATATTTAGCACTATACATAGCACATTTGCTTCACATGTGTTGTATTACACATACATGTGATGATGATTAAATAGAAAAATTATAATATCTTGTCTGTATTTTGAAATGAACTTAATGTTGAAAAAAATCGAAACAATTGTAAAAAATGTTACGGGAAAAAAAAACTTACTTTTTGAGTCAAAACTTTTTGAAACAGGATATTTTATTGTTTCTTGATTACGGAGCGCTACACAGCGAGCATCCTACACGAGAGAAAAGTAATGACTGACTTGAAAATACGCAGCTGCTATGAAAAAGCACCGAATTCTCCATTTCCTCGTTAAGCCTAGTTTACAGTTCAACAAAAAATGTTCGTTGTGGTGAATAAAACAAAAAAGTTGAAAATATAGCACCCAAAACAATGTTTAAATTAATGATGCCATAAATTCTATTTTTTCGAAAGATAATGTCCAATGATACATCTACAAAATTATGTGTATCCGCGAAAACAACAACTTTGATACTGACCCAATTCGAAGCACTTTTGAGCCGAATAACAGTTTTGCAATTTCCAAAGAAATATTGGCGAGATGTAAACTAGACTTTAACTATAAATTAGTACATACAAGAAAACGATTTTTGCTTTCAGAACGAGGAGCTTATTTAAAGTCTAGTTTACAGTTGCACGAAAAAAAAAGTTCATCAATGTAAAAAAAAAACGAATAAGTTTAAAATTATTCATGTCACTAAATCAAAATTCCGTTTTTAACATTTTCTTTACTCGTTACTTTTTTATTTAACAGATTGCTTTTTTTATTGAGAACAATATTGTGAAAACGGCAAATGTCGAAGTATTCACCTCTTCCCTCCAATGCCGCCATTTTTTGAATTTCCAGTTTCTGCATATATATGATAAAGATCCATATTGAAGATGAGAAGAGTGTACATACGCTGGACTCTTTCAATTTTTGGTTCATACATGTAGTGATTTATTCAAGGCTGCATCTGACTAAAAAGTTGTGGAGGAATTTTATATAAGGTATATCGGTAAATTTGGATGCAGTTTCCATCGCATTTTTTACGATCGAATTGATGTGCTCTTTAAATTTCAATTTCCTGTCAAAAATAACACATGAATCTTTTATGCTGTTTGCTTCAGCTAATGGAGTGCCGCTGATGTTGTAAACATCAGCGCTTGGATTAACTTGTTCGAAACGACCATTGCGCAACAAATAGTAATAAACAATATTTTATTCAAACGTAAGAACGCCAATTTTTTGGGTATGGAACAAGTATGTATGTATTTCTTCTTCTTTCACTCATTCAGGTACAGTAAATGAAGTAATTTTGAATTTCGTTTAATTAGACGCATTCATTATTCACAGTTGCGTGCGATCTCTCCCACGAACAATACACCCATTGTATGACGAATGGCCACTCGTCTCACAAATTAAAATCAATAGAACGTCATTTCAGTTTCATCTAGTCAACGACTCAGAAGACACGCTCCATCGAGCAATCGGTCACTGAATAGTCTATTGCATTCGCATTTATTTGCGTGATCAGTTAATACTGAAGATTTTTGAGTTTTAAGATTAAAAAAGCGAAGAAATTTTTTCCAAATAAATAAAAAATACTGTCGCAAAATGATTTTTCCGACGATTTTGGTATTTTGTATTGTTTTGGCTGTGGGATATGGACAAGTACTTGGTTCGCCTGAGTATTGTACCGATTTGATTCCACAATCGAACGTAACCGTTCATAAGTTATTTGGAACTTGGTTCGGTGTCGAGGTGATTACACACAAGGATCGTGTTACTGGAGAAAGACCAAGCAGCGACTGTATCTATGTTGTGATTTCTGGAATTACTTATGAAGTGAGCAGAATTTTACTAAATACACATTGGAAGTTGAGAAGGATATGAAAAAAACTATTTCTCCTATTATTCAGATGGCTACTGCACGACCACCAGAAAATTCAAGAGAAATCGTTACTCAATTCGGTAAAGCCCCCATATCGAATCCGATGAAAGACTATCGCTACTTAAGGTTGGAATGGACTGAATTAGATGAAAAAGTCGAGTATATATTGCGATACAACATAAGTCGAAGTGGATTTTGGCTATCGTCCGCACCACATGAACGTAATTGTTCAAATTTTTTCATTGAAAATTCTACTGTTTTAAAATTCCCTTTTCACTATCCCTGACTAAATAAAAAAATGTATATCATATTTCCATCTTAAGGTGATCATTTTGGTGATAAACCGAGTTATAGTGATTTCTCCGGCATCATTCAAGTGATCGTAGAAACTGACAATCATTTGGTGTTAACATTCTGTGAAACTATACCGAAAAGGCAACTCTTTTCCATCATATTGACACGTCATTCGAATTCGATACCAATGGATGTAAGCACAAAAACGGAAAATAAATTCAAAATATTGAAAACACTCAAAAAAGTGATACAAATCATCGATATTATAGCACAACAAATTTCATTTGATATTAATGCCAATTTCATTCCTAATTTCAGCTCATAAAATCTATTCACGATAAATTGAGGAATCGGAACCTGCAAAATATCGCTTATCGGCCTGTTTGTGCTGGCGTTGATCTGATTCACGGATCATACTTTCTGGCAATTACGATTGCGCTTGTGTTTGCCATACAGTAAAAATGGATTTAGGTTTATTACTACGAAGGAGTGTAGAAAGTAGCGCGTACTTCAGAATCAATTGAGTGTCTGTTTTGCAAATTATGTCAATCACTTGCCCATTTTGTGTCACTTGCCCACTTTTGACGTTAACTGAAGACCACCCATTGAAGAATTGAGAATATTTAAATTTCAATTAACTGGACGTTTATTCTGAATGAGTCGCATTAGTATAGTTTTCAGTGTTCAAGCCTTCATTCCAAAAAATAAAATCGTGTGCTCCATATGGCATCTGCAAAAATTGTTTTTTTCTTTCTTACTGTCTTTCGTCCACTCATTTTGTGACTTGAGAATGTGTTGAACGTAAACCAAAACATAATTAAATTGATTTAAACATCTAAGTAACATAAGTGGTTTTATTAAGTCGTTGCTTGTATCACATTACTACTGGTAAATTGTTGTTCATTCAGACTAGTCCGTACTGAATGCAGCCAATTAAATTGAGCGCTTCGAAAGGAAATTCTTTCGAAGCCTACGCAAAAATTGTACTCGTTTTGTCAGTTGCGACACTTGTTCTACGGTTATATGGGCTTCGGGCTATGAATTATTATTATTGTTTGTTTTTCGCGACGCAGGCACACAAATTTTAGGGCTATAAAAATGAGAGAAAAAAAGGTATGACTGAGATTCATTGCTGTGGTGTTTTGTTGTGACTTCCGATTTTGGGTGCATTGTCTGAAGTCCCGACAAAAACGAAATTTATTTCACGATTTTCTCTTCGTGCAAAAAATGCAGGCCTGCGAAGTTTTAGTCATTGTTCTACGTATCGCTGGAGATGAAGTCATATTTGTCTAACTGCAAATAGCTATGCTAGAGCATCTATTGATGACTGTCACGTGCCTCGACCGTGTATACAATTTGGCGATATATTTTAACGACGAACATAAATCAAATTTCCCCCAAAAAATAACGTAGAAAAAATTGAATTCGTGCCTACGAAAATCCATTAAATAAACAGAGTCAACTGAGTATAAAAAAGGACTACAAGGGAGGAAAAAACAGTTGTAAACTAAAAAAAATGAAAACAATCAGTTTTGGCATGTATGATATGTTTTTTTTAGCATAACAAAAAACATGTAAAAAAAGTGTCCCATTTTTAAATCAATATGACTCACAGCACCGTGTTTTCTTTTGACACAACGAGAACTTCAGTAAGGTGGGAATTGACTACACAGTTTATTTTCATATCGGCTTATGGAATTCCGTTCGAACCTCTATATTTATAGATAAGAAAAGTTTGCGAATGCTCTTGGTCGTGTTCAATCATATCTCCTCTATGGTCTAGTGGCTAGGATATCTCGCTTTCACCGAGAAGGCCCGGGTTCGATTCCCGGTAGGGGAAAATATTTTTTAATTCTTTTTGCCACATTTTATTCCCTTAATTTGCTCCAAACGCATACAGGAGCTGATGCAATGCTTTGTATTCGAAATGTAAAAATAATTTCTATAGCATATTCTATCTTGAATGAATGATGCATCAACATTCTTTTGAATATATTGAAAAAAATATTATTTCTCCTAATTATTTACTATTTCATATAAAGTGAGGTTTTTTTTTCTAAAAAGAAAGTGAATTTTCCCACACTTGATTACGTTCAAAATTTGTTGAGAGTCATGTTTTAACGTAATAAATACGTGGCTTGAGAATTTCACGGTCGAAACAGTAACAGTTTCAAAAGGTTGAAATGGACGATTTTTAGTCCAATCGAGGAGATTTATTGATGCGCTATAGCCTCTCCTGCTTATTTCCGATGGCTCCGAATGACCAAAAATGTCGGCGGCCAATAGAACATTTTCTGACTGAATGTGTATCAGGGTGGTCCAAACTGATTTATCATGGTAAGGTATATGCTCCCAATAGCTTAAAATTAAATTGGGCTCAAAACTAGCTGATTCATAATTTGATGTTAAAAATACACTTGGAACCATGTGTTCTTACTATATGGCTGAATTTGTTTGAAAAAACCATGCTTTTGTACTAAAACTTTTTTAAAAAGCCGCATTAGCTAATTTTCGACAATGGATTCGTATTCAGCGTCTCAAAAAACCCAAAAAATGATATGTCACCGGATTCGATTTGAATAACCTATGGGTTTTCTATCAATGCGCAAGAAGTGTGCAACGTGCCGCGTTAAAAAAAATTGTTTTACTATTGCAAAACTAGGTCAAAAACAGACATTTTAAGTACGGCTCCATCGACCACTAGATTTTAACATTCATTCTGAGAATGGGAATCAGCTAGTTTTGAGCCCAATTTAATTTTAAGCTATTGGGAGCATATATCTTACCATGATAAATCAGTTTGGACCACCCTAATGTGTATGGCGGTGCCGCATTTCCAAATAGGGTTTAAAAACGCGTTATTTTTTTCATTGTTTCCTAAAAAAGTTATTCTACAGAGCCGTTAAATACCGCCTAAAAACGTTATCTCATTATTTCTCGTTATTTATGCAGTATTTCGAACGGTCAATATAGAACAATACAGAAAAATAACGTTTCTTCACCGTTTGCGGTATTTGTCGAAACGTTTGTGAACCCTATTTCCAAGCCGTTTTTAGCAGATACCTAGGGGCTAACCACGGTTTTAAAAATAACCAATAATGACCGACTTCAACGTTTTTTATCATTTAAACAAATAAATTCCGATATGATCACATTTTGGTCGATTTTGCCCGATTTTTGCAGTAATTTGTTCGCTTTAACGAATGGATACTGTTCTAGAAGCGGGTTTTGGTGCATCCTCAGGATCGTTCAGAACTGCTCCCGATTCTGGAAGTGGGTTTTGGTGGATCTTCAGGATGGACCAGACTGGGTTTGACAATGCCCTGGCCCATCCTGAGGATCCACTTCCAGAACCGGGAGCAGTACTAAACGATCCTGAGGATCCACAAAAACCCACTTCCAGCATTTTTGGATCGGTAATGACGTCAGCACATTAAACGTTTATAGTCGATATTAAACGATAAAATTCAATATATACAGATTTTTTCAAATTTTTACGGATGTCATTAAAATTGGGCGATAAAAACAGATTTTGTCAATAAAACATCCGTGGTTAGCCCCTAGGCAGAAACATCATAGAATACGGTGTGCCATTTGCGTTCTATTGACGAATCGATTGTGCTGCATTTTTGTGGACAGCATGACAGTGTACACTGTACAGCTTTGTGGTTGCGATCGTGTTTTTGCGAGAGATTTACAAGCTATGTAAGAAATAATTACATCCGCTGCATTTCGAGTGTGTATGAAAACGTTTTCGGGTTGATCAAGTGCGTTAATCTATTCGTAAATACAGTGGAACCTCGATTATCCGTCCTCCCATTATCCGTCACCTCTGTTAACCGTCACGCTTTGCGGAAGTGAATTTTTTTTCAGTTCATTTTACTTGAACATACGAATAATGTCGCCGACTGAAATTCATAATCAAAATCAATTGTGTTTCGCTTGTACATCCATACAATAAGATTTGAAATCGAAGGCGTTGCTACCGAAAACATTTCTCGGATCTAACATATGACACCCATAGAAAAAGATGAATATTCAAATCTTGGAAAATTTGCCGAAATGACTGCGGGTAGGGCGATTTTAATTGTAGATTTTATGTAGTTTAATGTAGTGTTTTTACTTTTTTTATGTAGGAGCAATTTTTCGAGTAATCGGCTATCGAAAAACTGCTATAAAATGGAACAACTCAAATCTTGGTCAAAAACGTATTTTCCACAAATCGAATTTTTTTTCGAATGAAGAATGGTTCCAAAAAATTGTAGATAAATTGTAGAATTAAAATCAATTGTCTGTTTTCAAATATGTCTGCCCGTTCGTTCGATATCGGGACGAGTCTTGAAAATTGGTCCAAAATCGATAAAACTCAAATCTTGGCCACAAATTGAAATTTCCACAAACTGAATCTTCCTCTCTTGATGCTAGGTTCCATAAAATTGTAGAAAAAATTTAGAATTCAAATCTACAATTAATTTTGAGCCACTACAGTCGACTACAATCAATTTTCGACCACTACAATAACTGTAGGTGCTTCTACAATTATTTTCGGGCCACTACAATTAATTTTGGTTACTTCAATGATTAAAACACGTTTTATATCAGTTTATAGCAGTTTTATTCCCATATCAAATATTAAACTCCCCTGGAGCCAAACTGTCTCTTTTTTACTCTAAGTTTTTTTCCATCTTATCTATAGAAAGAGAACTCATTAGTTGTTTTTTGTTCTATAGGTGTCATATATTTTCTACATCACCCGATATTTCATCATAAACTAATAATAATATGGATGTTTTGATTGATTGGGCTTATTTTATGAAAACCCCGATTATCCGTCTTTTTCGATTATCCGTCAAGGTGCTGGTCCGGTGCCTGACGGATAATCGAGGTTCCACTGTAGTGATAAATCATAACGTAATGATTGTGTATTTGAAGATTGAGTAAAGGGAGACAATACCATTTTTTTTTTGTTCAAATAATTTTCATTATTTCGAGGCTTCTCTTCGATGGAAAATTCAAATACAAACCAATTTCTACAATGCTACCTCCCACGCTGTTGTGTTTAGCCATCATTACCTTACAAATTCATCAATTGGTAAACAAATATTAGTAGCGTTATGTTGTAGCTCACTTCATGCGTGTTCGTTGCATTGTCAACTCCGAGTTTTGAACTATGATGAAACGAATTATTGTCAACATTTTGGAAAAATAGAACAACCATATGATCATTTTGATTATCGGCAAATTTATTTCGATGAGATTTTTGCTATCATATTAACAACATAAAGATGAAAATTTATATCGAATTAATACGAAATTCACTTATATTTGTTACACACTCAACAAGAGTGCATTTAGCCGTGCCGATCATCGGCTCCGGTGGCCGAGTGGCATAATATACGCCTCTCCTACCGGCAGGTTGCATACCCGATTTTGTCAGTTCATTAAAAGTATTTCTCGAAAAAATGTTACTGAACTATGAAATCGAATTTAAAAACTTGGATATGGCTGCCAACCGATGATGTGAATTAGATAGAAAAAGATATTGACAATAGAAAAAGTATTGAATTTGTACAAAAAAATATAGTGAGAATACAGACATATCATTAAAGTAGCATGCAAATTCAAGCGACATTCGAACTTGCATGCGAAGTAGAAACAAAAACTAAAACAATAGCCATTACTAAAAGACTGAAAAAGAACCATTGCTTAAAGACTGAATCGTAGATAGATTAAAGAAATTGGAAGTTCACATTGGTTTGTGACATAGTTTGGCTAGTATAGTCAACGATCATCTCATGTCCGATCACTGAAGTTATCCGTCCGATCACTGAAGTTAACCTGCATCGAGCATGGTTAGTGAATGGGTGACCGTCTGGGAAGACCAAGTGTTGACACAAATGTTCTTTAGTGAGTTTTTCTTAGTAAAACAGAAGTTTGTCGATGAAGAGAACCTAAAATTGAATCAAAATTGAAAACATTCTTTTTTTGCAATACTAAGTTATATGCTGACTAATAATAAGAGAGTGCAATAATAAAAATAATCGATACCTACCTCTACTCCGTGCCAACACTCCAAGATGAAATATCATATACGTGGTATACATAGTAAGAAAGATCTGTTGAAAATTAAAAACATATAATAATGAATTTTGATTTGAGTTTGAAAACACACATTGAATTCGTTTGAAGCCTTTGATTATTTCACATTGTAAATACAATTCAAAATAAAGTATTATCCAATTTTATATTTAATTAAAAAGATTGAATCGATTTTGTTGATATGCCCCTAAAACACACGTAATCTGTGTGTTAAACTTGAATCTAAGCACAAACAGGGATATTCTTTCTCCCTTTGTTAGTTGAGTTCATTTGATAATTTTTTGTACATGTACCGAATACATGGTACAAATGCTTCACGTGAGAATTAGTATTGTATTTAACATATATGTGAAAATGATTATTGGAAGAAAAAAAGACTCCTTCCATTTCAAAATGAACTTAATGATGAAAAATAGAAACAATCGGAGAAAATTTTATAGGAAAACCACCAGAAATCACAAAAAAAAACTTACTTTTTGAGTCAAAACTTTTTGAAACAGGATACTCTATTGTTTCTTTGTTTAGAATCGATATTTAGCAAGCATCCTGCACAAGAGTAAAGCAATGACTGATTTAAAAATGTGCAGCTGCTATGGAACAGCATCTCTCTTCCCCTTAAAGCCTAGTTCACAGTTCGACAAAACATGTTCATTGTGGTGAATAGAACAAACAAGTTGAAAATATAGCACTAAAAACGGAATTATTTGTATTCTCGAAAACGACAACTTTTATTTTGATGAAACTAATTCGTTGCACCACTAAGCAAAAACACGGTTTGGAATTTGCAAAGAAAATATTTCGTTTCGAGGTGTAAACTAGGCTTTAACTATATAATATATATTAGTACATACAAGAAAACACTTTTTGCAAGTATGTAGTTTTCTTACATAAATTGATTCTATGCATGCGTCAATGCAAACGCTCATTCTGGCGTAATAAATGAAGTAATTTCGAACTTCGTTTAATTTACTTTGTTTATTATTCAGTGTTGGGTGAGATCTTCCACATAAACAATACATCCATTGATGTATGGTTGCTCGATACAAAAATTTAAATCCATAAGTCGTCATTTCAGTTTCATCTAGTTAACGATAAGTAAAGATGCGTTTTGTTGAAAACTCGTCTCATTTTGAACGGTATTCTGCATTTGCATAAATTTGCGCCAACACTTGATTTTGTTATAAAATGATTTGCTGCATCGAATCCAATGAAATACTGTGCCTTTTTAAGGTTATAATGGATGAAATGAAAAGTTTGAGTATATTTTATAAGTCGAAATGGATTTTGATTATCATCGGTCCATCTTTTTCATCACAAAAATGGAAATTACTTTATTAATTCTTCATGAAATTGCATTCAATTTTCTTGTTTTTCTTGGTTCAATCATCCAAAATTGGAAAATATCTATTTGCACAACATTCAAATTTTTACTAGGATTTTGAGGAGCTCATTCAGGCGATCAACGGAGTTTCAGTGCGTTTGCGGAATCGTTCAAGTCTTCACGATAACTTATAATTATTTGGTCTTGACATTTTTTGAAACGGTTCTTCATAGGATAGTTCCATCATATTGTCAAATCATTCCAATTCGCTAACAGTGGATGTAAGCATGAACACAGAAAGAAGTTCAATATTTTTAACATAATGAGAATAGTAATACGAATCATCGATATTACGTAAAGATATTTGGTCTTAATATAAATTTCATTCATAATTTCAAACTCTGCATGAAAAAATGAGGATTCGCAACTCGCAAATTATCGCTAATCGGCAAGTTTGTCGGCTGGCGTTGATTCTTTGACTTTCTTGCAATTACGGTTGCACTCGTGTCTGCCATACAAACCAAATGGTGTATTACTACGAAGGAGTGTAGAAAGTAGCGCGTACTTCAGAATCAATTGAGTGTCTGTTTTGCAAATTATGTCAATCACTTGCCCATTTTGTGTCACTTGCCCACTTTTCACGTTAACTGAAGACCACCCATTGAAGAACTGAGAATATTTAAATTTCAATTAACTGGACGTTTATTCTGAATGAGTCGCATTAGTATAGTTTTCAGTGTTCAAGCCTTCATTTCAAAAATAAAACCGTGTGCTCCATATGGCATCTGCGAAAAAACGTTTTTTCTTTCTTTCTGTCTTTCGTCCACTCATTTTGTGACTTGAGAATGTGTTGAACGTAAACCAAAACATAATTAAATTGATTTAAGCATCTAAGTAACATAAGTGGTTTTATTAAGTCGTTGCTTGTATCACATTACTACTGGTAAATTGTTGTTCATTCAGACTAGTCCGTACTGAATGAAGCCAATTAAATTGAGCGCTCCTAAAGGAAATTCTTTCGAAGCCTACGCAAAAATTGTACTCGTTTTGTTAGTTGCGACACTTGTTCTACGGTTATATGGGCTTCGGGCTATGAATTATTATTGTTTGTTTTCGGTGACGCAGGCACACAAATTTTAGGGCTATAAAAATGAGAGAAAAAAAGGTATGAGTGAGATTCATTGCTGTGGTGTTTTGTTGTGACTTCCGATTTTGGGTGCATTGTCTGAAGTTCCGACGAAAACAACAACTACAACATTTTGTGTGTGTCACTCTCTCTTCATGCAAAATTGCAACCCTCCGAAATTTTAGCCATTATTTTACGCATCGCTGGCGATGAGGTCATATTTATCCAACAAAATAGGCGCGAATCGTTATGCTACAGCATGTATCGATGTCTGTTACGTGCTTCGCCCGTGTATACGATTTGGCGATATATTTTAACGATGAACATAAATAACATTTCCCCCCAAAAAAAAATAACACACACACATTCACACACATAAAAGGAACTCAAACCTACGAGGATCCATTAAATGAATTGAATTAAACAGAGTAAAGCCGTATAAGGAAGGAAAAAACAGTTGCAAACGAAAAGAAAATATTCAAACTTCAGTTCTGGCCATCGTATAATATGTTCAGTTAGCTGAATGCCTTATGAAACAGTTTGTTTGTTTGTTCAATCACTTCGAAATCGATTTGAATGATAGCTGCCACAAGTCCATCAAAGCCGTGCTATTCATGTTTTCGTTCGTTCATTTGATAAAATTAGTAGATTTCTTTTGAGGTGTTCTGTAGCTTTGGAATTTACTTGTCGCCCTCACTGGCGATAGTTAAGGATGTTTTTTCAGTAATTATTTTTTTCCCTTTATTTACCCATAACACCCAACAACCAGTGACCTGATTTATTCATTCTGATTATTAATGCATGCCTCATTCATCGCGAAAGAAATATATATTTGACAGCCATTAAATATTTCACCGCGTACAGGACAAAAAAAAGTGCGTGTGAATGAATGAACTGTGAATTAGATTTCAAACAATCTATCGACATGCATACCCATGATAATAATCATCATCGAATCGAATTGGTCACCCAACCATTCATTCCGAACGCGTTTCCAATAAATTATGACGAAAATGATAAACACTGATTAATAATAAAATTAGGCAAAAGGATAGTCATGTTTGTCGGTCAAGACCCTCGAAAAAACGGTACTGTGAATCGACACAAAATGAATCATTCCACTTTAAAGGTTTAACACACAGCAAATGAGAACAGAATTAAAACAAACTCTTAATTTAATTGATGACAGAGAAAGAGCATCTAATTGGTTTAAACTGTTCTTATGAAGGGGATCATTTTATCCATATACGAAAATAGTGACTGCACCAGTCAGACAATGTGTAATGTGTTCGTTCCGTTTGCGTATTCGCCAGTCAACTCGAAATAATGAATTCAATACAAACCCATACAAATTCACAACGCGAACGCTTGGCATAGCGTGGCGTGGCTCTGTCTGAACGAAATCGAAATTCATAACTCAGTTCATTCGTGGCGGTGTTACAATTTAGACGCACAAATCGTTATATTCAACGACTGTCGCACTGTGAGTGAGTTAATGACTTTTGCTCGGTTCTAAGTGATAATACCTTTTGTGATTTACTCTGCAAATTAAGAAGAAGAAGAAGAAGAAAAACGAAAGAAAAATTGTGATTGAGCGTGGAATTTACAACCAAAAAAAGCAAGAAGTGAAAATGAAAGTGTTTGGATTTGTTACCATTTTGCTTGCCATGTGCAAGTACATTGAGTGCGATAATGTATCACAACAACAACCACTATTCTGCAATGATTTACGGCCACAAAATCAAGTGGATATTGAACAAGTGCGTGTTGTCAATGTCAATATTTGCTATTTGCATTTGAAAAAAAAAAAGTGTTTTTTTTCTCATCATTTTGTTTACTCCGTTTTTTAATTTGCTCAAATTTTTCAATTAGCTTTTGGGCTTGTGGTACGGAAATGAAATCATCATGCATCATGATAGTATGCGTAGTGAATTGGCTCTGGATGCGTGTGTTATGATTCACTTATCCGACATTACTCATGAAGTAAGTTAATTAATACCTCGCAGTTAAAGTTCAAGCGTGAATCAGCCATTTGATTTGATTGCATAAAATCATTGATTTGTTGTGCTTTCGCAGATAGCATCATCACGACCGCGAACACCAGATCAATTCCAAGAATATCACAATCAACAAATTTTCTACAATTACGACAATAATCAACGACCAATTGGAGGACAACAGTATCATTATCTCAAATTACAATGGTCAGAACAGGATATTAACTTGGAATATACTCTGCGATACAATACAACCAGACGAGGATTTTGGATTTCATCTTCACCACAAAAAGGTACAAATTTTTACAAGTTTTTTCTTTCATAAATAGGAGAGGTTTTGAATAAAGAATGTGTGTTTTCAGGAACAATGATGAAATTGAACTATGGTCAATTCTCTGGGGTGATCCAAGTAATGAAGGTCGTGAGCAATCAAATGGTTTTGACTTTCTGCGAGAATTTGCCGGGCAAACAGTTTTTCACCATCGTTCTGTCACGCAAACCCAACATTTTCTCAGCTGAGGTAAGATTTGATGCCAACGCTTTTCACTCAATCTCTACCAACAGAAACAAAGCTTCATGGAAATGGTCAAATCCAATTTTTTTTTTAATTTTTCACAGGACCTTGGAAGTGTACACGGGCTTCTACAGCACCGCGGTTTGCAAACGGTTTCAGTGCGAAAAGTTTGTAATGGATCGACATCGATGCATAGCATATCGATTTCATCTCTTTTTATCACAGCCGCTGTCGCATATGTTCTTAAACATTTTTAGAATTTCTCTTAGCAACTACTGTAGGTGTCCGCTTTCAGCTCAAACCATTTTCATCTACTCATAAAATCACAATTATAAGTTTTTAGTGTATTCTAATTATGTTCTTGTAAGAGAGATTGAATAAAAATAATGATAATTGTAATTGAAATCGAAAAAGTTTTACCTCATTAAATATGTCCATATGTGAAAATGCTTGTGAAGAAATATAAATTCTACAATAGCTTGCGAACCATGAAATGATAACTTTAAATATTCTCGTTCGTTGAAGGATCATAAACGTATCTGTTCCGCTAATATTCAATAGGACGATAATATTTATACATTCGCTTGATATCGAATCGGCACAATCCCAAGCACAATGCAACGTAAAAACTGACGCAACTATGCGAATAGCATCATGATAGTCACTTAAGCTGTATACGATATTGAATAACACTCGGCTGTATTGATTCTACGTTCTTGAAAATTTTTCAGTTTCATTAAAATACCACGTTATTAATGAAATAAAGTGAAAAATTGATTAAAAAAAATGGCGAAAACGAAGATCCTGGCAATTATCACAGTTTTATTTTTCATGTGCAAGTACATTGAGTGCGACGATATACAGGGGACATCTTCACCTTGTGTCGATTTGAAACCTCAAAATAATCTAGATACTGATCAAGTGGGTGTTGAAATGAAATCAACTTCTGTTTTTTGTAAATACAACTCAAATATTCACTTATAAATCGATTCGAATATTGGAAATCTGTTCTAGCTACTTGGTACTTGGTACGGTAGCGAGATCATAATGCATCGCAATGACGAAAATATAACGAATTGGAGGAGGACTCATGTGTTGAGATTGATTTGGCCGATATTCCGAATTCAGTAAGTTAACACCACGCTCAAAACTGGCCTAAGACAATTATAAGAAAAAGAAACATATTTTCAGATGTATGATATGTATGATATCAGCCAGCAACCGAACTACCGCTACTTAAGACTTACTTGGAATGAAAGCAACGATGATTTCGAACGCGTTCTACAATACAATTGAACGAATCCAGGGGTATTGTATGTCCATTTTGTGATTTCTTTAAATTCATCGTTCACTAAAGACATGTTTAAATTTCAATCTATTGAGCGCGTACTTTTAGATACTGGAGTGATTCAAGTGATAGAATTCGTTGGCAACCATATGGCAAAAGGCACGCACAGTACATAAGAGCTAATGCAAAAGTCAATTGATGCGCATAAGTAGCGCCACCTCTAATGATTACGGAGAGTTACCGTATGCAATTGATGTTGAGAAAAAGAAGAAGAAGAAGTAGACATTCTATTCATTTACATTGCAATAATGGCAATCAGTAGAGATGGTGCTAATGTGCCGATCATATCACTGTTACAACCCTTCGCCATATGGTTCTGAATTTTTGTGGAAATGATAGAGAATTGTTCAGCATTGCTTTGACACGGTCACCTAACATGTACACGGCTGATATAAGAATATAATCCCATTTGATTGCATCTCCAATTCCACGATACAATCACACAATTTCTGATTCCATTATGATCTTGGAAGTGTGCATGCATTTCTTCAATGCCGAAGTTTATCATGGTCGAATTCATAATTTTTTCTTTTCATTTTTCACAGGATCTTGAAAGTGTTCACGCGATGTTACAGCGCCGCGGTTTGCAAACGTTTTCAATGCTAAAAGTTTGCAATGGATCAACATTGATGCATAGCCGATTGCATCTCCTTCCATCACAGTCGCTGTCGCATATATTCTTAAACATTTTTTGAATTTCTTTTAGTATTCTCATTATCTTCATGTATGAGAGATTGAATAAAAAATAATTATAATTCTACTATAGCTTGCAAATCATTTATCAGCTTGATGAACTCTTAACCCAACCAAAATTTGATATCACTCAAATACTATGAGCATACTCTTTTTTACTGTTTCTTTAAGCTATTTCGTTTGAAATTTTGCAAATATTCGTCGAAAGAACTAAATAATAACTTGAAATATTCTCGTTCGTCGAAGGAGTATACAACTCTGCGAATAGCACCATAACAAACATAAAAGCTGTATACAACTGTGTTTGATTTTAGACGCAAAACTCGTCCACAGTTTGCTTAATATTAAATAACAATCGGCTGTTTTGATTTTGCATTCCTGAAAATTGTTCAGTTTAGTTTTAAAGAAACAAAAGGAAACATTGATAAAAATGGTGAAAATGAATATCCTGGGAATTATCACAGTTTTATTTTTCGTGTGCAAGTACATTGAGTGCGATAATGTATCACAACAATAACCACAATTCTGCAATGATTTACGGCCACAAAATCAAGTGGATATTGAACAAGTGCGTGTTGTCGACGTCAATATTTGCTATTTGCATTTGAAAAAAGTGTTTTTATTCTCATTTGGTTTATTCCATTTTTCAATTAGCTATTGGGCATGTGGTACGGAAACGAAATCATCATGCATGTTGATAGTATGCATAATGAATCGGCTCTGGATGCGTGTGTTATTATTCACTTGTCCGACATTACTCATGAAGTAAGTTAATTAATACCTCACAGTTAAAGTTCAAGCGTGAATCAGCCATTTGATTTAATTGCATAAAATCATTGATTTGCTCTGCTTTCGCAGATAGCATCATCACGGCCGCGAACACCAGATCAGTTCCAAGAATATCACAATCAACAGATTTTCTACAATTACGACAATAATCAACGACCATTCGGCGCACAACAGTATCATTATCTCTAATTACAATGGTCAGAATTGGATAACATCTTCGAATATACTCTGCCTGTTCGACCAGATCTAGATTCTGGATTTCATCCGCGCCACAGAAAGGTATAGACTCTCATGAGTTTTTTTTTTCAAAATAGAAAAAGTTTCATATAAAAAATGTGCATTTTTAGAAACAATGATAAAATTGAACTATGGCCAATTCTCCGGGGTGATCCAACTGATAAAAGTCGTGCGCCATCAAATGATTTGACTTTTTGCGAGAATTTGCCGGGCAAACAGTTTTTCACTATCGTTCTGTCACGCAAACCCAACATTTTCTCGTCTGAGGTTAGATTTGATGTCGACCTTTTTCACTGGAAACTGGTCAAATTCATAACTTTTCATTTTTCACAGGACATTGGAAGTGTACACGCAATATTACGGAACCGCGGTTTGCAAACGGTTTCAGTACAAAATGGATCTACATCGATGCATAGCATATCGATTGCATCTCTTTTCATCACAGCCGCTGTTGCATATGTTCTTATACATTTTTAGAATTCCTGTTAGCAATTACTTTAAGTGTGCGTTTCCAACTCAAACAATTTATATCTTTAAATTTTTGTATACTCTAATTATGTTCATATAAGAAAGATTGAATAAAAATAATGATGATGCTAATGGAAAACGAAAAAAAGCTTGTGAATAAATATATTCTACCATAGCTTGCGAACCATCTATCAGCTTGAGTGAACTCTTAACCTAACCGAAATTTGACATCACTCAAATAAATTATCATCAGTTATAATGAATATGGTTGACGAACATGATTAACTCTACATAATGAGCGTACTCTTCTGACTGTTTCTATGAGCTATTCCGTTTACAATTTTGCACATATCCATCAAAACATCGAAAAGATAACTTTAAATATCCTCGTTCGTTGAAGGAGTACAGACGTATCTGTTCCGCAAACATTCAATAGGATCATAGCTATACAGCTGTGGATAATATACACACATTTGCTTGAAATCGGCACAATCCCAAACGCCAAATCACAACGTGAAAGCTGACGTAACTCTGTGAATAGCATCATAATAATCATTTAAGCTGTTTACGACGGTGTTTAATTTTAGACGCGAAGCTCATTTTTCCGCAGTTTGCTTGATATTGAATAACGATCGGATGTTTTGATTCTGCGTTCTTGAAAACTGTTCACTTCAATTGTTGTTACAAAATCTTACATTATTAACGAAATAAAGGGACAAATTGGTGAAAATGGTGAAAACGAAGATTCTAGGAATTATCACAGTTTTACTTTTTGTGTGCAAATACATTGAGTGCGACGATATACAGGAGACACCTTCATCTTGCGTCGATTTTAGACCTCAAAATAACCTGGATACTGATCAAGTGGGTGTAAAATCAGTTTCTGTTTCTTTGAATACAAAAAATGTATTTTTGAATTGAATAAATCGATTTAAATTTTGGACATCCATTCTAGCTCCTTGGCATTTGGTACGGCAATGAGATAATAACGCATCGCAATAATGAAAATAATGAATTGGATCAAAATTCATGTGTTGAGATCATATTGGACGATATTACGAGATCAGTAAGTTAACACCACCTTCAAAACCGCTCATGTGATAATTATACACACATTTTTAGGTGCATATGCAGTATAATTACGACGAGCGGCCAAAATATCGCTACTTGAAACTAATCTGGAATGACGGCAACAATGACTACGAACACATTTTACTTTACAACCAAACAAATCGAGGAGTTTGGATAGCAAAAACAACACCAGTGACCGAGAATTGTATTGTCTATTTTGGGATTTTATTGAATTTACTGTTTACTAGACACGATTAGACATGTTTAATTTTCACATTTCAAACGCTTACTTTTAGTATATACTCACAATGGACATGCACAATTAAAAGCAGGGGACAAACAAAATTTTGGTCAATTCACGGGCGTGATTCAAGTGCTGAAATTCGTTGGTAACCATGTGGTTCTAAATTTTTGTGAAAATGACGGACGATTGTTCAGCATCGCTTTGGCGCGGTCACCCAACATGTACACGCCTGAGGTTAGAATATAAACCTATTTCCATTCATTCGACGATAAATTCATACAATTTCTAATTTAATATCATCACAGGATCTTGCAAGTGTGCATACATTATTTCAACGCCGAGGCCTATCAGCATATTCAGCGCATAGACTGTGCAAGGGATCCGCAGTGACACACAACATGTCGATTATTACGCTGTTCATTGCATTTTTCGCGTGTATTTTCAAACATTTCTGAAATGCTCACATCATTTTTTTACTCATGATCATCTTCAAAGCATCATCAAACCTTAGTAATTATGAAATCGTAAAATCGATATAGAATGACCTTTGTTTCCAAACCAACTATTAGCTTCGTTATTAACCAAACCCATTTAATTTTCCAATAAAATGCGTCGATTTTTCTAAACGAAACACTCAGACAAAGTGTAATAAATTGTAAGAAGATCCATTTTGAGTTAATGCATCGTGACCAACATGTTTTCTCTCGACCAGCGTAGTATGCACTTCAATTTGATTATTGTTTTTATTTTCATTAAATTAACACAAAAACCGTTGACGAGCGTGCTGTACTGACCGATACTATCAATTAATTAAATGAATTTGTCTACTCGGGCTATCGTGTGCTCTTGTTTTCGTTCTCGTGTGCTTCTGTTCAACGAAGTTTTGAGACAGAAATTCCACACGAAACACGGACCACTTCAATGAACGGTGTGTGTGGGAGGTCAACGTCATTTAATAATACGGTTGTGTGTACTTTTGCTTCATTTTGTTCGATTGCTGTGTCAATGAAAACTAATGACGAGTGTATGCACTGCGCTCATTTGACCAAGCGGTTAAATAAATGACGGGTGATAATTGATGACTCTAAATATGGTGGAAAAAAATTATATACCCACCCAAAATGTAAGCTCAATTTCATGAAAATAACATACATTGCATTCTTTGAATGAAGTTGAATTGGATACGAGGTGAATCGAACTAAAAACGAACATCGATTTTCAGACAAAACACAAAATAATAAACGGCTAATATGTGGTTTCTGTGTATTCTGTGTCATTTTTATTATAAATTTGTATTTGTTTCTCTCTCAATAAATCTAGCTGTAAGGCACAAACGAATTATAGATTTATAGCGTCTATGGCATCATTAATTCATACAAATGATCGAATCAAACGGTTGGATAAAGATATTTTTTTTCTTTTTTTTCATAATTTTTTTCTTTTTATCATTAGTACAACTAAGATTTCTTAACAGTAAAGCTAACCAGAAATGTAAATAAACCAACATTATCTAATATAACTTCTATTTTTGTTTCTTTTTTTTTCTCTTTGTGTATGAATATTGTTTATGTTTTATTTACTTTATTGATTGAATTGGCACACATGTATGTTTTAAGTTTTTCTTCTCAGGTAAATGCTACTTTGCAGTTTGTTGTTGATTCATTAAATACTAACACGACTATTACGATGAGCACGTTCGATAGTACTCGGATCGTGATTGAATTTGGTCCAAAAATCCGATCATTTCATTGTTCAGCGAATCAATTCGAGCCTGTAAGCTTCGAAGCTCACGTTCGTTGTATTGATATGTGTCAGCCATGCTCTGAAGCTGTGCCAATTTGTTCTGTGTGCTAACTGTTACCACTGAGGCACGCTGCAGCAATTGTTGGGCACGTGCACGTGCACTCTCTGTTGAACTGGCTTTGTCGGTCAATGAATCATTTGCATCGCGATAATTGTTCTTCAACTGTAAATAGAAACACCAGAATTAATCATGAACGAAATCGATTTAAAATTCAACTGTTGGGATTATCGAAAATCCCGTACTTTAACTGCGCCTTCGTGAGCTTTGTTGGCTTCATCACGAACAATTTCCGATTGAGTCTTGATTTCCTTGGCATCAAACTCGTTCTTGAGCACATTCTTTTGCAATTTATTCAATTGGTCAAACAATTCATCGACTTTAGCAGCAGTTTCGTTTGCCTTCACTTGAGCTTCAACAGTCACTCCATCAATCTATAGAGATATTATTGAGAAATTTAATTTAATAAATATTTTCTTCTACAATGAGAGCATTCTACCTTCTCCAAATCATCTTTAGCCAATGCGATATCTTCATTTGCTTGCTTGATTGCGTCCTTTGCTTTCTGTTGTGCGTTATCAGCTTCTTCAAGTGATTTCCGCAAGTCTTTCGCTTGGGTCAAGACATTTTCGGCGCGTGTGCTGCAAATGGTTTGAGAAAATGTTTTTAAAATGTTCAAAAATACACAATTTTCATTCATTCCTTACTTTGAGTCCGAAGCGACATCCTTGAGATTGTTGACGCGATTCAAATCAGAACGAGTGTTTTGAATAATTGTATCAACATTTTCCAATTTCGAAACGGTATCATCGATTTTGGTAGCCAACTCTTTGATTTGCTCTGGGTCCAATTGCAATTTCAACTCCAATGTCTGCAAACAAAAATCATGGAATATTGTGACCACACTAAATTTTTCTATGCATCAAATCAATACTCACCTCTTCAGCCAGCTTCTTAATTTCGGACGGTGATGCGGTGTTGTTGTTCAAGATTTCTGTCAAATTGGTAATCAAGTCATTTCCATCAATGATCATCGATTTAGTTCGGTTCAAGTAGGTATTGGCAAGTAAAAGAGCGTTTTCAGCTTTTTTGTATGCTTCGGTTGCATTGGATTTGGCTTGAGATAACTAAAAACGGGATAAATATTCGATTATTAATAATTCTCATCAACTTTATAGCTAAAAAAAAGTAATACACACCGATCGAATAAGATCATCAGCAACATCTTCCTTAGACTTAATCTTTGCTTCGGCATCTTTGACATATTCCAACGCCTTTTGAGCGCGAGTCAAAGCTCCGTTCTCACAGGAGAAGCCACCGCAAGTACCGCAGCCAGCACCACCGCAAACACTGTCACATGGATCGCCACGTTTGTCGCAAATTTGTTCGTTCAAATCTGGAATTTTGGAAGTGAGGTTTTGCAAATCCGCCAAATATTGATCCAAAGTATTCTCGTTCTGTTGCTGAAGAGCGTTGAACTCGTCAATTGAACGGTTTACCAATTGTTCGGTGCGATGGCATTGTCTTTCCGCGTTGGCGCTCAAGTCTTGTGCTTCAGCGTTCAATTGGGATAATAAATTAGCCTTTTGCCATGCTTGTCGCGTCAAATTCAATGCACCCTCGATATTGGCTTCTTGTAATTGTGTCGAGTTCGCTTTTAATTCATTGGCAACACCTTTGATATCTTCACCGCGTGAACGGAGTCCATCTAGGGCAACATTTGCCAAATTAACACTCGAGTACAGATCTTCCAATCGAGTTTCCGATGCTTGCAATTCCGTCAACGAATTGTTCAATTGTTTGCGTAGATCCTCTTCTAGATTTTCCAAAACACGAATATCCTGCGAACTAATGGTGACATTGTTCAAAACGCTTCGAATTGAACCGATTTGCTTTTCCATTGCATCAAACTCCTTGGTATAAGCTCCGGTGGCGCCAGTCGTCTTAATTTGCTTGGCTTCTTCAATAACACGTTTCGTTTCTTCTCTCAACGAATTCAAAATCAAATCCCAATTGTCGAAACATTCACCGCATGGCGAACAATATGGCGCCTGTCCCAAGTAGCCACGAGCACATTCATTACATTTGTAACCACCAATTCCTTGCACACATTTACATTGACCGGTTGTACGGTCGCATTGTTGTGTGGCTGAACCATAGTGATCGCACTCACATGGATGGCATTCAACATTTGGATTGCCCCAGAAGTTGGCTTGACACTCATTACATTGTCGACCACCAAATCCATCCTTACAACGGCACTGTCCATCGTATGGATTACATTGCTTGTCTTCTGAACCGACTGGATCACAATTACAAGCCTCACAACCATCTCCGCTGGCAATCTTCCAGAAGTTCTCCTTACAGCGATCGCATCGAATTCCCTCAACATTTTTCAAACATGGACACTGGCCATCAGTTCGATCACAGAATTGAATTTGACCATCTGTTCCCAGCACATCACAATCGCATCGACGGCAATCTTGTACCAGTGCATTACCGAAGAATCCATCGCGACAGTATTGACAATTTCCACCGGCCGTTTCGTATAAACACTGTAAACATGTTCCGTTGTGCAAATCACAATTGCCCGGTCGAGATGGATCGACATTATTATTACAGTTACATGGTTGACACGTTCCGTTCACAAGTTCCGGATGACCGAAATAGTTTTCAGCACAAATATCGCATTTGGCACCAGCATATCCTTCACGACAATAGCAAATCATGTCCTTTGTACGTGGATCCAATTGACAGAAATCGGAATGGATGTGACCCGAAGCGACTGTATCGGGGCAGCGGCATTCACGGCATCCCACTTCACTTCCGAGCAATGCATCACCGTAGAATCCATCGATACAACGTTCACAATTACGTCCCGAAGTGTAATCGGCACAGTCTATACACTCGCCACTTATTTGATCACACAGTTGAGCATGACCGTTACATTCGCACCTTTGACAGCTTGGGAAATTCCAGTATCCAGGTTGACATTGATCACACATACGTCCATATGTATTCGGATGACACTTACATTGTCCTGTTACTTGATCGCAATTATTATCGGTAGCACCGATGCTGTTACAATCACAAGCTTTACAACCTTCTGGCCCAAATCCGTAGTATCCTGGAGCGCATCGATCACACTGTCTTCCGACAACGTTCGGTTTACATTGGCATCGACCACCGAATTCATTACATTTTTTCGTGTTTGATCCGGTTGGGTTGCAATTACAAGCGGTTGCACCATCGAACACATAAATACTGACATCATCCAAAATAGCCTTACATTCCGGTGACGATGTATCATCAAAATCGACACGATAGAATGTTGAATTACAATTTTGCCCTTCAAAGAGTTGGCGACTGCCAACATCTGGACCATTCAATAGTGGTGTAGCTTCGATACGTGGAATTGCCGCAATTGAATCGATCAGAATTTGAGCGGCTGGATTGTCTTCTTGCTTGCGTTGACGTTCGAACAGCAATTTGATTTTGTAGATTTTTCCTTGTTCAAAGCACACATTGGTCAGAGCCACCACGCTCGAGTCACGTTCTGGCAATGTGAATGGAACACGATCTTCGTAGCTTGGATGTGAGTTTGGGCAAGGACCATTTGGATTGTACTCATCAGGGCGGATGATTGTAATTTTTGCCACTTCCCAATCACCGCGTGATTGAGTTTGATAGCGAACCACAACATCGTATGGCATGGTTTTTGGTATATCATCAACGGTGAATACCAATTCGTTTCCTTCATTGACACGAGTGTAACCAGGACCAGTCCATGGTGGTCGTCCTTCGGTCGGTGGCTCGCGCAACACGATTGTACAATTCTAAAAACGAATGAGTTTTCCATCAGTTATGGAAATGTGTAGAAAAAATAGATAATGCTGATAAAATCAAGCTCAAATGTTTCTTTCAACTTACTCCATAGCTCGAATATCCTGGTTCACATTCGGCTGGCGGTACTTCAGCTTCATGTATGATTTGCAACGATGGCACAAAGTAGTTTTGCTTTGGAATGTCACACCGGCGACCTTGCATATTCGGTCGACACGAACATTGCCCGGTGAGCACATCACAATTGTTATCGTACGATCCACCTGAGCTACAGTCACACAATAGACAACCGTCTTGAGTGGTTGATAAACCGTACGTCTCTGGCATACATTGATTACAATCTTTTCCGGTTACCAAACGCTTACACACACATTCACCGGTGAAAACGTTACAGCCCAAATTTCCAACTGTACCCAGAGTATTGCACGTACATTCCTGGCAACCCAATGTGTTGTTAGCATCCAAATTCCAGAATCCTTCCAAACATGTATCGCATCGTCTGCCCATGACATTCTTTTTACAGTGACATTTACCCGCTTCGTTTTCTTCGTCAGTAATTGAGTCGCAAATTCCCTCATCCGTTGAACCACGTGGATCACAATCGCAACCTAAGAATATCGATACGACGTTAAAAAATTTGTTTTCTGCACTGAACGTAAGTTCATTTTCAAACTCAATGTTATCACAATTGGTGATTTGCCTCTGATTAAATGCCAAGTGGTTGTCGAGACTCATGGAAAAGTAGCCGTCGGAGTGCACGTTCTGTTCATGTTACGTTAAGGCGTACACATACAAATGCGTTAACGTAAAAGGAGTACAGCAATATATCGTGTGCTGTGATACAATATATCGCTGTACTCCTTTTACGTTAACGCAGTTGTATGTGTACGTCTTAACGTAACGTAAATAGAACGTGCACTCTGACGGCTAATTTTCCATGAGTAGTCTTATTTGAAAACTACTTACGTCTGCAAGCATATGGACTCGTAATTGGCTCATTTGGATCCCGATAAAAGAATGGAATACACTCTTCACAATGTTGACCTTGAGTATTGTGCTGACAATTGTCGCAAACACCACCACTCACGCGACCCGATTGCTCATAGACCGCCGCGTCAAAGTGACAAATTTCGGTGTGATTGTTACAGTTACAGGCTATAAAAATTTAAAATGAAATTAACCATTACATATGAAGGTGCTAGCTAACGAAACAACTGCATTGCAATTACCTTTGCAAGCGTTGGTTTGTTTGCCCAAAGCTGGCTTCCATGGTAAATCATTGTAAAAGTTTTTGCACTCTTCACAATTCAATCCTTGGGTGTTGTGTGTACATTCGCACTGGCCGTGCACCATATCGATTTTATTATCATATGCATCATCCAATGGGACACAGTGCGATGCATGACCATAACATGAGCACGAACCACGAACAACCATATTCGAAATTGCATAGTAGTATTTTTCCTATAAATGGAAAATCGAAAAACGTTTTAGAAATCGCAAATAAATAAACAAACAAGATGATCTTTTTGCGAGAATTTTTTTACCTGAATTTCCTCACGATCATCGAGCAGCGTGTCGCCCAAGTTGTGCAAGTGTGTGAAATTGATACGCAAATTGGTCATTTTCAGCATGTTTTGAATGTGATCAGCGTATGGATTTTCAATGTTGTGTTGTGGTGGCAAAACACGGAAAATCACTTCACCATTTTTCGATGGTTCAACGCTTGAGTAGCGTTCATCGCACACCACATCGGTGATATTCTTCGTGATGCGTGGTATGCCCGGGAACGCTTCATGACATTTATGCGCAAAGTATCGATAAACGTGCCACGTCCTACCGAAATCGTATGACCGTTCGATCAACATTGCGGCCGGGCGAAAAGTTTGGAAAACGATGATCAAATGCGTAAAATGAAATTCGGCTTCCAAATCCAATTGAACGGTAACATTTTGTTTGCCATTCTCCGATTGCCACCATGATTGTTCACGCGTTCCCGGCTGATTTTTGTATATAATTTGTCCGATACGATGATTTAACCGTGGATCATTGACGGTATAATCGTTGGTTTCGCAGGAGAAACACTTTTTCTCTTCCAAATGTGATACGATACAGAAACGCTCACGACCGCGTGTACCACATGTCGACGATGCCCTTAATCGATCCTCACGACCAATCAACAGATTTCCAGTGGCTGGGTAACATGAACTCTTCTCACACGGATGAACGGGCTTTCGCGGTCTATATGCTGCATTCGAAGAAAAACACTCGAACGATTAGTAAGGATGAAATTCAATCGTTTGTGATGTAATGTTAGTGACTGACTGTACACATTTATATTTGAAGGAATAGAAAATTCCAAAATGAAATCGGTTAGCATCATTTGACACACAAAAAATAAAATAAAACGAAATAAAATATCAACTAAAGTTAGCAACTGTGAAACATAAATTTCATAATTATTTGACTGTGCAGAAATGGTGATGAAAGAATGTCATTGTTTGCATCACATTTCATTTTGTACACCAACAAAAACTAGAAACAATGCAACGCATTGCATTGCGCTTTTATTGCAAATGTTTATGCATTTTTCACGTGTGAAATCACATAGTGAAACAAATTGAAAATGTCAAATGTATATAAGAGTTAGTCACAATTCGAGTAGCACCACGGAGATTGAGTTAAAATTCATAAAAAACTGTACAGACGATTCATTTTCCATTTCATTCGAAACAACCGAACCGATTCATAAGAAAAATCTCGAGTTCTTGGAAAATCACAGCAAAGGCACACCCAAAATGTATGCGTTTTTTTTTTATTCGAGTGTGCTCTCATACATGTGTGTTCCCATAAACAACAGAAGGAGGGAAAAAAACATCAAGAAATCATCTGGTTGTGTTGTGTTTAATTTCTTTTCATCTCTTTCATTTTCCTTTTCTCAATATTTCGACGCGATATTTTCAAGATATACACAGTAGTACAATTGAAAAGGAAAAGGTTACGCTGTTTCCTATGCCTTCGTTAGATTTATTCTCTAAAAGAACAGACTATATATGAAAGTTAGATTCGTACACGCACACACAAAAAAAGTCACATTCAATATATGCATACAGAGTGAAGAACACACTCGACGAGGCTTGTGTGAGCTGTGAGCGTGGTTTGTTAACGGGAAATGTGATCATCGACACTTTGGCTAAATTTAGAACAGATATCTCTCTGACAAACATATTTACAAATAATGCCGTTGCATTTGCGTAGTAGTAGGATATTTGGTGAATGTTTTTTTTTCTCCAAACGAATTCATTTGATATGTACATAGAAAGAATGGTTGGAAAATGGTTGATTTTTCCAGGTTCTAGCGCTGGAATTATAGCTCGGATGATGAAGGGAGATGTTCGAAATATATGTATTTAGAAGAAAACGTTGGAAAACTTAAAGAAAAACATTGAACTGAAGAAGAAGAAGAAGGAATAGAAAATGACAGTCAATATGTGGAATACATGGTTCGGTTTTGTCGAGATCGTTGATGAAATAAATGGGATGCCTAGTGATTGGTTGATTGCGAACGCCGAGTGGTATAATTTCCTCAATATCTCCATCGATTTGTGGCTGCTGATCGCCACGATAGTACGGTGTCGTCGATACTGTTGGCATAGTCGTTGTACGATGTTTGTTCAGTCGCTTTTTTGTTAGGATTGATGCCGGTGTGTGCGCTTGAAATCGTTGATGTACATATCGACTGGGCGCAAATATTGTGCTGTGTAATGCTTCAAGCGGTGTATGCAATAAAAATGACGATGATGAGCGATCAGTGTTTGTCGTATGACCGATCCCATGTCGATGATTAAAAGCGCCTAAATGATATTTTTGCATTGAAATTCAAATGTGTCCGATTCATGCAACATGCATAATCAAAATGTGTGAAGGTAAAGAAAAATGAAATCGATTTAAATTCAATCAAAACGAAAGTAAGTTCACTTTTTATTTCTATGCTGCGTCAGTAGTGCCAAAGATGAACAAAAATAAAATGGATGAGTTAAATTTTGCCTAGCGATATTGTACCGTTTGCTCAGAAAACGATTGAATAAATGAAATGCTTACGTCTTGGTCGGTTTGACTGTACATCCGTCTGTTGGGCCACACATTCTGCTAAATCTAAAATGAAAATATCACATCTGTGGTTAACTCATCGCTGCCCAGTTTCGTAATGCTTGACTTTAGACAAACGAACAAAAAACGAAACTACACACAGTTGAAATGTTACTTAAAATGTCACTTGCCTTTAACTAATACTAAAACTAAATAGAATATAACTCCAACAAATGTTGATTTTAACGTCACCATGGCTCCTCACTTGTCGCTTGGTAAACGTTTTTTTCTACGAAGAAAACGTTCCCGTCCTAAAACGAACACATGAACGATCAGATTTCGAATTATGTTTTTTCCGTCAGTCAATTTTTCTAAATTAGAACACTGTGGGTAATAGAAATGAATGATGATATTTAAAAAGTGAATAAAAACGAACGAACAAAAAAAAAACGATCGATAAAGCAATAAGAACATGAACAACATGGCATGTAGGGAACAAAAAAGGAAGCCTGGCGAAAGCAGATCAAGAAAAAGAACCAAATCGACTTTATCATGTGACTAAAACCAAGTAGTTGCCGGGTTATACAAAAATATCATCATCTTCGTCGTCGTTGCTGTCGTCGTCATTCATTCACATAATCAGTATCAAATATGAAATTTTATTTGTGAACATGCTATAATCCAATCCCATAGCCGCTTGAAATTCATTCAAATGTCCGTTGCGCTTTAACGAGTAATTTTTCTTATCACTTTCCATGTTTTTTTTCTGAAACTTCATTCTGTGCTTCACGGTTTCCGTACTTTGTTACATAGAATTGAGCTATTAAGCATACTAAAGTTCTCAAGCTATCAAAAAAATACGGCTAGTTTTTTCTCCATATTCTTCCGGTAAAAAGCGTAATCTTATCGAAGGTTAAAGAACCGATGTTACAGTGTGTAATAAGCACAGCGCGATAGGAGGACTATGTCGTTGTTTAGGCTTGAATAACATGATCGGCTAATTTCGTCCTGTTTTGAAAATCGAATACTAAAATTCTGCTGTAAAAAAGTGCTGATTGAACGTGTGCCTTCGTTATCTGATAATTTGCAGCTCCGTATGTCGCATTACTCCCAAGTATAATGACCGAACGAATTACGAAAATGCTTGGAATTTGAACTAGAACACCTAACCGTCAAAAATCTGCTGATTTCACTCATTTCTTTCTAATTCGTTCACACGATATACATATATGTAAACGAAATTTGTTGGTTGAATTCTCGATTGGTCAACGTTCCGATCGTATGGTGCCGACAAATTTTGCACTGGCAAAAACTCATTTCGTCAATACCGTAAATCAGTTTATGTGAGCATTAAAATGTGTGTGTGTGTGTGTTTTTTTTCATTTTCGCATATCCGATGTAATAATTTCTTAGAATAGCCAACAATTTTGCTGAATTGAGCCACACTTTTATGGCTTTTTCACTTTTATTTGACGTTGTGGCGAAACATACACAACACATTTTTACAATGACAAATTTCACTCAATTGGTGAATTTTGTGTCATGCTGCGAATCGTATTTTTTGCGCTTGGAACTTGGAACGAATCAACGATGTCACAGGGTATAATTGGTTGCAAATCACAGCTTCTGATCTTCTGTTCGGAATCACCATTGCCATATCGGCGTAGTGCACAATCATCATCAATTGATACGAGAAGAATTGTTCTCAAGTCGGAAACAAAACTCCAACGCTCAGCAGGCGTCGCGCATAAAAACAAAATTACATTTTTTTTAATCTTGAAAAAAAAATTCTGTGAACACATGTGATGAATATATCATTTTATGATCAAATAAAACCAGGCCGTGGTTTCAGTTATCCGTTGGTTTGCTGAAATTTCATTTCGTCACACCATATGTTCAGTTTCTGTTTTCAATTATTTCACTGTACTTTTTTTCCGCTCCATATCTTTTTCTTCTCTCTGATTTTTTGTTGGGTTTATTTTGAATATGCATCGTCCATTGATTTATGGTTGGTATTCACGCACGTCGGCAATGATCAATGCACAGCAAACAAAAGACATCTCATTGCGATGAATAAATGCTGTCGTTACCATAAATGAAAGCAACTTTAACTTGGTTATTTTTTCTTCGTCGAGACAAAACCGATGTGAGAGTCTTAGAACAATAAATGATCATAGAGTTCGAAAGGATCACAAATACATAAAAAAAGCCAACGAAAAAAAAACACAAACTCCAAATACATTCAACAGATGCACGAACATTCTTTCGTAGTTATAATTATCACTGTATTCAAATGCATTCGAATAGCATAACATTTCATCTTTCACCACATACAACTCCAAAACCGTAGCACACACACAAAATCAGAATATTTTCTGTACAATTTGCAATCGAAGCATATAAATTTTTGAGAAATTCGTATGAGGTAACAAGAATAAATCCATCTTAAATCACACACACACACACAAGATAAGCCATAGCATGAATTCAGGAATGCAACAACAAATGGTACCTACACAACTTCAAAGAAAAAGGGAAAAAAAAGAACTTGAAAGAAGTGGAAAAAAAAGAAGAACGGAACGAAATAATACTTTGGTGCTGTTGACCGATTGAAGTATTCCACTCGACTGACGGGAATGATCGGCTCGGGATCCGGCTTGCGCATTCATTCTTCTTCTTCATGGTTCACAGTGTCGCATACATAAAGTGAAGTGCGTTCTCTTCGGCTGCTTTGGTGTTATTCCTTTGGTGCGCGATCATTTATGCTTTGCGTCTTGACTGCTGTTGCTGCTGCTGCTGCGTCTGTTTCGAACCGAAAATAGAAGACAGACTATGTGTTGTTTTTTTTTCTTGTCGTTTTCCTTTTGCCCATATCACGAGAGAGCAGCCCGAAGTGTACGTTCTTTATCCCTTTTCGTCGCACGCAGAACAATACCGATTTAGAACATATATTCGTTGCGTTTTTTTGTTGTTGTTATGCCTTTGTCCCAGTTTGCTTCACAAGGCGGTTAAATGTATGCATGCACTTTAACAAAAACCAAATAGATCCATACACAATGAAGCATGTGTTTATCGTAAAAATTGTGTGCTTTTTTGTTGTTGTTGTTTTCCACATATTTTTCTTCCGTTGACTGTAGCGTCCCATTTTTTTTTCTGTCGTTTTGTTCAGATTTCTTGGCTTGCGTTTCATGCCGCACTCAAATTAGGCAGTCTGGAAGTGAACGAGCAACGATAGGCTACAATCATTTTGCTACGTCTCTATTCATTATCTCTCTTTCCGTACATTTCGGTTGTTGTTGTTGTTGCTGCTGCTGCTACTGCGAGAGATTTTCATTTTTATGGTGGCGGCAACAGCAACGTTCTCTGCACACAAGGATTTCACTTCGAATACGATTGAAGAAAACAAAAACCACATAAGAGTTCTCATGCGTTGATTGAGTTTTATTTACATGCAAGAGTCGATGCACTGTATGTTTTGTAAAAAGTGATCGTGTTCGTGATTCCTAGTATGTGTCTAGTCATTCATTTGGTCAGCCATTCGTCGCTGTGTGGATTTCGTTGGAAATTTCTCCATTTCGCTGCGCTTTAACATGTTTTGTGCGTTACCATTTATGGCC